TCCTCAATGACCAACCTATTCACCAGTGTAGTAGTCAAAAATATCTTGGAGTAATCTTTTCTATAATGACTTATCATGGTCATCCCACTACAGTTTTATTGTCTCAAAATCATTGAAAACTCTGGGCCTCATACGTAGAACTGTTGGTACTCTGTCATCTACATCAATAAGGAAACAACTATACATAATTCTCATCAGATCACAAATGACTTACTGCTCACAAATCTGGCACCCCCACCTTATTAAGGATATAGCGTAAATCAAGACTGTTCAATGGCAAGCCACCAAATGGATTCTAAATGATTATGATTCGGATTACAGATCTAGATTGGTTACTCTTGAGGTTCTTACCCTGATGATGATCTATGAGATCAATGATGTTGTCTTCTTCATGAAATCATTTCAGTCTCGTAATCCTTCTTTTTGTATCCTACAACATGTATCATTCTCCTCCTCTTGTACAAGATCCAATGGTCGTAAATTATCTCATAGTTACACAAAGCATAATTTGTCTCGCCACTTTTATTTCAACCGACTACCACGACTATGGAACAAGCTAATAGACTAAGCTGATATACTCAGTTGCTCCTTGTCCTCCGCTAAGAGACGATTAGTTGATTTGATGTGGCAGACCATCACATTTTTGCACATTTCACTTTCTATGTCCATGCAGTAGGTATATTGAGTCATTCCTGTAATTTTATTTTTAATTTTTTAACCTTAATTTTGTAGCTCCTTAATTTCTTCCTGTTTTGTTTTGTTTTATTTTTGGGACTCTGCTTCATCACAGTTTCTCCTACAGTACTATCTAGTCTTTTGTGTCTTATCCTGTTGTCTTGTCTATGTGTATTGTGAAGTTCATTAATAATAATAATAAATAATAATAATAATTATTATTAATCATTTATCAGTATTAAAAATTAAAACTTTAAATGGCTAGTCCAACTCTTATTAACAAACACAATGAACCAAGCGGTTTCCAATCACATTTATTATTAATTTTATCAATAATTATAGTTACTTTGCATGCAATGCAACTTTCACAATTATCTTAACTAAATTAAATTATAAATAATAAAAAATACTGTAGACAAAATAACTTCAGTGTCATGCATAGTACATTAGGCCTTTATCTACTCAAGGACCTTGCTGGGTACAATCTATATGACTGAAAGATAAAAGAACTTAAAAACAAAGATTATCACTAAACCAGAAACCCTGCATGCATTCATAATATTCACTCATAGACAGTTGCTGCACAGTAGTAATATTTTGTAGATAACATGATAACCAAACAAGCATAACCAATTAATACACACAATAATAAGTGTCTCATGCTAAACTTTAATATCAATTTAATTTGTGTCACAACCACTAAATTTAAACTGTTCTCTTCTCTAAGTTAATATTATTTCATACTTTCCACCAAATACATACAGTTACATAAAAAGTAATAAAATTAAAAATTATTTAAAAATCACAACATTCAATTATTATCAATGTTTAGCTTGAAGTTACTGCCTAACAGAATAAATAACATACAAAAACAAAACAGAACCAAGTAGTTTTGATAACTGAGTGAGTCACATTGTTTAGAGACACAGAACCTTAAAAAGGTGAATTCATACCAAGCTTTGTCTGAAATGAAAGACGAAGTTTTCTTTGTGAATGAATGAACTTCTTTCTGATACGATACTTCACTGATTCCTGTAGTACAAGTTGCAACAAAAGCCAAATAATTCCAATAACCCAAAAATATGAAGGAACTGCACTTACAGACCACACTATGCCATTATTATCAACTCCATATCTGGTAATCACCTGTGAAACAACCAAATAGCACAATTCAAAGGCTAACACCACAACAAGTGACACTATGTAAGGCCAATTAATGTACTTATATAGTTTCCATATGGGCTTGCTATGGTGTATAAACATTAAGCTAGATGTCATGACATACAGAGTGAAGAAAAAGATTGTGCAATCTTGAGCTAAGGTATAACCTTGATAGTTTAAACCTCTCCAACCTAATTGAAAACCTTGACTGCTATTTGTATTTCCAAGAATGAAGTTACACGTGAACCCACTCTGAGCATGGCATAATCCATCCAAACTCAGATTAAAAAGTAATAGTGAGACAACAGCAGCTGGAAAGTAAGTTATAACAAAATAAACAACAAATTGTTGAATGTCTTTGATTCCGGCTGGAACAGTGCGATCAGGCATTAACATCTCCATTTCATTATCCATTTTATTAAATAGAAGTGAAAGTGACACCACAGGAACATTAAACAATAAAAACCAAAACATGTGGCTACTGGAAAGTGGTAAGGGTAGAAAAAGTAAAACTGACAATACAAGAAAACAGGATGAAGCAATGGAAGCACCACAGGCAAACAGAAGACACTTCTGAATGGATCCAAGCCAGTGCCGTGCTTTAATAATTGTAGCATGCAAACTAACATCTGCATTTCTCTGTATCTGAAGCTCACAAGTCATTGAATTTAAACTAGCAGCAATTCGCATGGGTGATGAAGCATCACTGTCATCATTAGCATTTGGATGCATAGAGCAATCAAATTCTTTTAAGTCTGAGCCAGCTGGTAGAATGCTGAGACCAATATCAGCATGTTTGAACAATGACAAATTGTCAACAACTGCCGCATTTCCAATGCATAGTACTACTTCCCCATTCTCTTGCATGATCTTAAACATTTCTTCAACAGCATCTGGAGAACAATCAGTAAACAAAGGTACCAGCAAAGGAACATTATCGACATTTTTTAAATGAGACCTAACATTTTCAACACCTTTAGGTAATTTTGCTTTGATATATGCTTGTGTTAAATTAAAAACAGAGGTGAAGCTAGATGCATTACTACTAAGCGATTCATTGTCAAACTCATACTCTTCATCACAAAATGGACTAAGAGAAATATGGCAATTCCAACCCGCTTCTAAACCCAACTTCTCAGCAAAGATTTTTCCCTTTACCTCATTCTCTGCAGTGAAATGTATAAAACGTATACCACTGTTACGAAGATCCTGAACAAGACTGACAATATCTGACTTAGGATAATACTGAAGTGAAACCATGCCAACAAAAACCTGATTACACAAAGAGTTAAGGACATGCGTTGCATTATCCATAATTAGTTCACTCTCTGATGATGAATAATGGTGGATTGGCCTGTCAATCACATGATGAGGAACAGAAATTCCTATATTTCCTTTAAATGGGATGGAATTATTATAAAGAGGATTATATGATAGAGCTATACAGTATGATGATAAACTCCTTCTAGTAAAAAAATCATGAATTGCTGCTACCTCATTATTTGACAAAGGCTGTAAGTCTTGACCATCCCAGTAGTCACAGCAATATTTAGAAATAAAATCTGCACTTCCACTACTCATAAGAATGCTATTATGGAACTGGTCTGAACACAATATGGCCAGCATATGAGACTGAATATCACTCTGAACTTTTTGAAAAAAAGATCGACTCTTTGCTTTCACCAAACTGTTATCAGAAATAGTTGGCATAAAATTTTCAGAGTTATCATGTGCAAGCACAATAATGCTACTTTTAAAGTTTAAGTTATTCTTTGCATATCGGGAAACCCCTATTTCATGGGCTAAACTACAGCAACATTGAGTTTTATCAAAAAATGTTTGAAAACCGAATGACACAGGAGGAGAAACAACTGACAAATTCCCAAAAGCATGTGAAGTAATAGCAACATTTAAACCGATAGGCTTTAAAGAAGCAATGTATTCTTGCCAGTTAGGATCATCAAATGTTAGTCCTGATTCTTTAGCAGAAGTTGGAGTTAAATCTAAAATTTCTGGGATAACTTCAATTCGTGTACTGTTAAGATCATTACGGTCATCTAACGCACTCTTTCCATCTTTTTCATTGGCTGGTGTACTTCTAAAGAAGAAAACTTTTTCAGGGGTAGGAAAACCGCTGGTTAGAATAAACTCCTTATCAACAGCACACACAGCTGACACAATACCAAATGAATGCAATGTGCTGTACTTTAAATGACTATAAGGCATCAAAATGGCTTTCAAAACACTGAGCAACACAGAAAAGCTACAAACACCAGCCTTGTAATATCCCTCAAAACACCATTCTAACTGCAATAGTCCATAAACATTGGAAAGTGTCCACAGAAGTGGCAAACAAAGAGATATTAAAGGAAGAATGGTTAAAGTTGGCCAAACTAGATACATATCAGACCAGTGAAAATACTCAGGAAAAAACAGCGACCGAATTATATTGAATGATAAAGTCAGAAAAAAAGTAAAAGGGACCAAAAATACATTTATGAACCATTCAACTGTGACTTTTTGACGAGAAAGATGAGACAAGGGATGAGAAAATAAATTAACCTGTGCTAAGCGTCTTAAGAAAGGTGTCTGGGTTACTTTATACCAGGCTTTCACACTTTCTTTAAAACTTATACTATCACTCTCCTTCTTATACCGAATGTGAGGCAGTTGTCCTGCATTCAGTTCCTCAGGCAACAATATATCAGAATGATGAAACTGTGGTTTGATAATCTTTACATTAGCAGGAGATGGATGGCTGAAATCAAGTTGAATAATATCCCCACAAACTAAGAGTGTTAAAGGAATATTTACAATGTGATTGTCACGAAGACCTGGAACTGTTACCTGACTTCTTAAAGTGGACATTGGCTGTGACGGATAAGACTCATGAGTCCAAGTGCAGCCACCCTTTTTAATGAAACCAACAACTGTAGACATACATCTTTCCTTATACCAGAAGGTATGTACCCGAATGTCAACAACTAGTATTGTTATACGAAAAAGTAAGACTATAAATATAATGAGCATTTCAACTATGTGCAATGCACCAACAAATGTGGTAATTTCATCATCAAACAGTGATGCTAAGAAGATGAAGATGGCGAAAAAAAGATAGAAACAGTTCATTACTTCAGCAAACCTTGTACAGATAATATGTCGAAATGAAATCCATTGTGGACTACATAAAAAGTCTTCAAGATCAGAGACAAGTCTTTGATTGGCTTCAGCCGATGTCAAAGATTGCGTAACAAAGGCTTGAGGAGGAATACTTTCCTGCAAAAATAAAGTGAAATACAGTGAAATACAGATATAAAAAAATTAAAAGTATCACAATAGTAAGTACATGTACATGTATATGTACATGTAATTCCCAAGGCAAAAATTAATAGAAAAAAAAACAAAAACTACATGAACCGCGCCAAATGGTTTTTGGTAATACATCAAAACAAAATGAATAAATTAACTGTGTACATGTACGTACTTATTCATATCAATTCCTTTGTATGAACATTAAATCATACTTACAATGTAAACAAGCATCTTTACTTTTTAAGCAAGCATTGTATGACTATGATTCATGCCAAATCAATTTGCAGAGATCATTAAAACACAGTAGCCCATTTATATATACATGTAGGATTGGTAAAATTCATGGGATCAATACAGTGTTACACCATAGATATACTACTCATAAACCTGATTGGAAACTTCAATGATAATAATTGCAAGGCAGGTTGGGGCGTATCCCCACCAAATCTGATAAAATCTTAGCAAAGCCATTGGCTCTATGGCGAACCTTGTGGGGCCCCCATATAAAAATTCCAAGGTTGGTACAACCCGGTCACAACCTCGCAAAGTTGTAGCAACCTAGTAACAACCTTGCATAAAAGTGCTAAAGGTTGACAGGAAACTGAGGTTTCATTAAGTGCACCCCACGATGATATGAAGCTATTGCTACCACATATAAAGGGACCATTGACCAGCACTTATACAAGTTAATAATGATAACATTAATACACATCCACATCTTTACACATTAGCTACATGTATCACAGATACATTACAAGTATCTAGAAATCATTTGAAACTACATGTATATAGGATTAGGATCAAGTCAATCATGATAACATTAATACACATCCACATCTTTATACATTAGCTAGATCAAGAATACATAATCTACAGAGAGTATCTAAAGCCTGGTTTACACTCGACACAAAACGCAACGCAAATGAACGCAAAATTGAAATTTGACCAATTTTGCGTCAACTTCAAAGTGTTTTTGCGTCAAAAGGTCAAATCGCCCACGCACTTTTTGACCGTTTCGTCGGATGAAAACCTAGCTTAACCATACTATAATAGCTGAAACATCACCGCGTAGTCTTTTCTTGTGCATCTTTGGGCATTTCCGCATACTGAGTGTGGCTGAGTAGGAAAAAAATGGCTGCCGAGTTTACTCAACAAGGTTTAATGGCCATTTTGGTGTCTCTGCTATAGCAGTACTACATATCAGACTTCAGCAGCATTATAAAGTTTACTAGTATAATGACTAAAGCTTCTTCAAGTGTTTCCACTGTTCTTTATGCTAATTTTTACACGTGTTTTTAGTAAGTACACCCACGCTTCTGGTCTCACGTGACTTAGTTCCACACGGTGATGTTTCAGATATTATAGTACGGTTAGATACTCTCTGTAGATTATGTACTCTTGGCTAGATAAATTACAAGTATCTAGAAATCATTTGAAACTATATGGGATTAGGATGTCAATAATACATGTACATGTAATTATGTGTTGATAGTCTTTCAGATTATAGTTATTCTATCAAATTCATTGTGCATTGTGAGAAGGTTGTGACAAGGTTGTCAAAAGCCAAAAAACGTGCCAAATACAAGGTTTTTAAAGGTTGTGACTAAGTAGTGATAACCTAGTGACAACCAACTTGTTCCAAGTTTGCCCCGATCATGCTAAAGCCTTGGTTTTTCTACATGGGGACTCTAGCAGCTGTATTTCAGAATGAAGCAAGCAAGTTTTTGCTAATATAGATACTTTTAAGAGCCTTCAGTGCAACATAACATTTAGTAAGAGCTTTTTAGGCTATCTGAATTTTTGCCAGATCGTTCGTGATTCCATTACTCACAAAATATGCAACATAGACAAAAAAATTAAAAAATGAACATCAAGGTGTACTGAAAGCTCTTACAAAGAGTCTATAGAAGTAAAACTCAGCTGTTTCATTATAAAATGCAGAAGCTAGAGTCCCACAAAGCTTCACCATTGGTATACCAAGAATTGAACAATACAGTTCAAACCAGCCTGGTACCCATGGGTAGTAACGGAAGTTTCCAATCCCGTTTACGGGTAGCATATCTATGGTTGCACTTGCTATACATGTATTTTACTTTATCTTCATTACTTCATACACTAATTTTAACCAGTTACATGCCAATGAGCTATGTGTTAGTACTTAGTACTACACCAGAGTTGTGTCAATTACATTATGAAAGAGCTCAAGCAAAAGCATTAAACAGTTAATTTCTTTACAAGCCTTTCACTTAAATGATTAATAAACATAAACTGCAGGTACATGTAGCTTTGCTTCCATTCCCAGATTTAATAATGTGCTCAGACTGCTCACTGATTGGGGTGTGGACTATTTTAATTGTCCCTCAAATTGTCTACACATACACATACTATACTACTATTGTGTAATGATTACTGATAACGAGGGGATCATGACAAATGAAAAAACACCTGGGCTTTAAGTCTTAAAGCCAACACTCAGGAATATACAACTTGTAATTAAGTACAAGCCCAAGCCCAAGCTCTTTTTTACCTAAAAGGCTATAAAGCACTTCCAATTACTTCAAAATCTGGGCTTAAGCCGAAAAGGGCTTGACACATGTCCGATCTACACACTTAAAACTAAACACTATCCCATTCTTTAGTAAACAAAAAATAGACTCACCTACAAATTTCAGTACTTTATTGTACATCAAGATACATCAAGTGCATCAAGATACATGTAAATGTACCATATTTTACCAATTAGACACCTGGGTATTTATTTCTTGACAGCAGAAAAAAATTGAAATTAAAAAAATTCAAGTAAGTTAGAACCCACAATCATTACCAAACTAGACCAGGTTCTGCCTCATGTAAGGAGTATATACTCACTGGTACTGTATACTATTGCACTGTAAACATTTTTATTATTAAGTACTTTATGGTTTTATGATTTCATGTACATGTACATGTATGTATGGTGTTTTGTGCATGCCTATAGTTACATTATGTTGGTGGAACATGTGAATTTGTTTCCTTTATGACTACTAGTCTTCTTAGTAATTCTCACTCTCACTCTTTCTCTTTATACTCTTTACATATTACCGAGAGTACATAATGTACTCTTGGTGTTACTTCGTCTGGAAAAACGTTACTGCTGAAACCTATAAGTAGCCACATTACACTAATAAGCACCTAAAGAATTAGAGGCACTAATTTTGTACAAAATATGCATATCTATAGTTGGAATATATTTGTGACAGGTACATGTATTTACTTGGAAAAGGCATTTATATGGTAAAATGTAGAAGGAAGTAAAGAGTTAGCCATTTAAACTTTTAGCATTTAATTAAACTTTCATGAATGGCAGTGATAAGCAACTTTTAATTTTAAATGCATGCTCAATTAGTGGAGACAGAAGTGTACATATGTTTATAAATGTGGATTCTTTAATTGACTCTTACTGTAAGTCATCAAAAATTTACCTGCTCCTGATACCGTAAACGTAAAAATATTCGTGGTGTAAATTTTCATGTTTTTTGGAATTTTTTCATAAAAATTAATTTCGTGCATTAAAAATTTCGTGGTAGGCATTACCCAATCTTATTAATTTATTGACCACGTGGCGACATGGCGACACCTGCAGAAATGCCTACCTCATGTGTACCTTCACTATCTTTTCAGTTATCAGGGGTTACCATGTATATAAGGAGATCTGGGAAGCAGAGATGCTGAAGTGTGAAAGAGAGACAAGTAATATTCATGGTCAGTACGTGTGGCTGTCACGTGGCCTATTGAATTAACCACCACACCCTTGCATTAAAATTTCATGGATCTGTGTGGCCCATGAAAAAAAAAATTTATCCGCCACGAAAATTTTAACGTTTACAGTAATCACTAAATGCACCAAGCAAAAATGATTTCTGGTATGCCTGAAAGAATCCCAGCTATTATTTTACAGGATACTGACAACATCTATTGTAAATATTTATCAACAATTGAAGTGACAAGTAACTACTATTATACATGTAATTAGTTTTCAATGAATGTCATTATACATGTACATGTATCTCATTATGGTATTCAACCACATGAAATAATTGGCGACACTAATTTTTATCAATCAGCAAAAGTTGAAACTATTCTAAAGTATTGTCAAGAGAAAGTCCACCTAAAAGTATAGTGCAATACTCTTATTGTATGAGCCTGATTTCTTAATTGGGCTGTAACAAAGAGTCAACAAAATGATCAATCCGGCTTTCCCAAATCTTTCAAGTGTTCATAATATCTTGCTTTAGTAAAGAACAGATATTACAAATCTTCTCATTGACTGAGTTCAGAGCAACAAACCATATTTTTGTCAAAACAGCTCTACTCTGCATTGTCAACCAATGGATCTCTGCATAACTTTGATGTAAAACATTGCATGAAAAGCCAAGGCGTGCTAAGTCTATTCATAACTTTAAGTACCGCATATCTAACCCAAACAGCAAAATGGCTGCCATGTTCGGTGTCATGTTTATTAAGAGTTCAATGGGGAAAACACATTTTCGTGCCATGCGACCTTCTTGAGGCTTCTTTCAGAAGTTTAGAAATCATTTTGAGGATCTAATGTCACGTAAAACATGTATATCAATAAATATAGAGCAGTTTCCTGAAAAAAGGCTTTGTCTACCTTTTCTCCATTGCTGTCATTGGCAAACTGATGTCCAATGAATTAATTTTTCTTGAAAGTTATTTTGGTACATAATGAATACATCTATTTTGCAATGAATATACTTAGCACACATATCCTCTATTGATATTGTTTTCATGTATGTTTACAGTATCACAAGCTAATTCTCATGTACATTGTACATGTACAATACATGTACATGTAGGTTACAGTGACAATCTAAAAATATCATGCATAAAAAAAGGATGTGTTACAAAGTACATGCACTTGACAAAATAGGGCAGCTACTCCAAACCAATAATTGATGAGATGAACATGACTTTATTTGCTTGATTAAACAACCAGGCATTTATTTTATAACAAGGTTAAATAAAATGTATCACCAAATGGATCAGAACAAGTAAACTTGGGCTATCAACACTGTACATGAACAGCTAGGCTATTGGGAACAACGTAAATGTAAATTGAGGCACCAGTACCAGGAACAATATATATTTACTTATAGTTGGACAAAATTAGTTATTGAGCATTAGATTAGACCTAGTCTGGTCCCGCAGAGGGGCCAGACTAGATTAGATTCTATAATAAATCGATTCCTTCATAAATAATGTGATCCCTCATACTATCCACAATTCCCTCAATATACATGTATGTAATACAATACGATGATGATTAAACTGAGTCATTAAACAAAGAGTTAAACAACTAATTTACAAATCAACCATACATACTCACCATTTCAAAAAAGATGCGAAATTGATTTCGGTAAGAAGTTTTATTATAGTTGTCTTCGACTTGTCGCTTGGGGTTTGGGCCTTGGTGTAGTCGGTTCTCTCATAGATATAAGACTGTTAGGCGTATATCTACGGTTCTCGAGATCCTGGTTTTGTTTTGACTTAAGTTTTGACTTTAACTTAGTTTTAAAAGATAATAAGGCGTGGCTTATAACATTTTTGACCACACCCATCCTACAACTTAACGCCCACTCCTTTTTCGAGTTTGAAGGCGTTTCCTGCAGCTGCTGTACAGTGTACATACTGTTGAAGACTGGAGAGATACAGTACCATGACTGCAAAAGAAAACACTTTGTATCCACCTGGCCAACTACTCGCTGCAAAGCAGTCAAGTTTGTTCTCTAGAGAGAGCTTTCATGAGGAACAGATGAAGAAACGTGAAGGTAATAGGAGCGTCATTGCTTTAGCACAGGAACCAGATGAGCAAATGACAATAACAAAACCCAAAGTTCTGTATGAGAACACATACAAGCTCCAACCTGAAGTAAAATTCCAGTCAAGTGCTGCTCAAAGAGTTATAAATGAGCTGCTTGAGACACACTTGAAAGGTGAAACATATGATGCTAATGCTAGTGCTCAAATGACGAAAACACTTGCTCAAATTATAAAAGACGCAGTCAAAGATCTCAATTATGACCGATACAAAATTGTGTGCATTGTTACTATTGGTGAACTTTTAAATGGTGATGTTGGTGTACTTCAAGCCAGTCGATGTGTTTGGGATACTAATTGGGACACATTTGCTAGTGGAGTTTACAAGAACAAAACCTTATATGGAGTAGCTACTGTTTATGCCATATATCAAGAGTGATAATCCAAAAATATAAACTACATGAAAATATGAATTACATGTACATTTAGTGGTTTTGTGTGTATTGAAGTATCCTTAAACTACAACAGTTTATCACAATAAATTATTAGATTTATTTTTATTACATAATAATTGTGGTTAAAAATTGAAGGCCAGACTGAGGGTAGTTTGTAGATTACATTTGAGGAGCTAAACAGATATTAGATAATCAATAATTGGTATTGAAACCATCAGTTCTTGTCCGTTGTAAAAGAATGATTTAAAGGCAAAATAGATCTAATTGTGGAGCAGTTTTATTGCTATGAGATGGTTGCCAAGCTTGTAAAGTCTTCAAATTACCAGGGCCCAGGTTTCATAATGGCATGATCTGATTCACAAATCATCTCCATCCTGGACCATGCAGCATAATTATTATGTTATGACCATGAAAACTTTCAACATTAACAAAGTTAATGACTTTCACACATTATACAGCACATTATAAGGTGGGACATAAATACCGTCTAGATCTACCAAGGAAAACTGATGCTAAGATAAATAGCCATATTTATCTCAGGCCTAGATCTTTATAAGTATGTCTGTAAAATAGGATTTGCTACAGTAACAAAGATACTGCAAATATACTCAACCACACTGAATAATACAGGAACATCTATCAATGGTATAAAAGAAATAATAATAATGCCAGGAGTGAAGCATACTCCATAGGCCAAAAACATAAATCTAAATAGACCTATTTAAATAGGAAGTGCCTCTTAGCTGCATAAACATTATCGTTTCTTAGCTGTGACTGCTGTGTTATGCATCGATGACTGATACAAAACATTCAACTGAACAGAAATAATAATTATAATTGAGAAAAGAATGACTATAAAAATTAGAGTATAAATAACATAACAAATACTATTCTATATAGGTGAACAGAATGAACCAATTTATTCTGTATACCTGGCCCATAAAAAAAATTAGAGCTAGCTCAATACAGCAGACAGCATTTATAGATAGCAATGGTGATGATCAGAGCTTAGCAGGTTCTCAAGAACTGCTTGTGAAGATGTGGCTTGACAATAAACTTCTAGAAAACAATCAAATAATACATCAGCAATTGTCATTAATATGACAAGTGCAATCCACCAGAAAATGTAAGCAGCAAAAAACAAGTCCCACTGTTCTCCTCATTTGTCTATACTGCCAATAATTTACTCACTATATAGCAGCTACTAAAATTGAACTAATGCAATGATAGTGAAAGGAAGTACAGTAAATTTAATACAAGATGTGACAGTATAAAAGAATATTATTTTTGGTTGTTTGAAGGACTTCTTTTTTGATAGAGTGACTATGATAGATGGCACAACACCATTAGCTATCAGTATTATCTCAACAATAAAAACTGCTGCTACTGCTAAACCATGGAAATCTTCAGTAAAGTAAACTGTTTTCCAGGTTTTCCATCTTTTTAAATCATTTCCTAAAATGGTGTACAGAGCCATATCTCACCATTGAAATTTAGATTTATGTCCATAATTAATCATTATGTCTCATTTTCAAAGTTAGTCTTAGATCTGTCTCACTGACTATTAAGACACAGGTCATGCATGACATAAGCACACACAGAGTTACTAACACAAATTATAATTAGAAAACATAGTTACTAGTAATGCACAGTACAATGTACATGTAATTTGCATTGATTGTAATTGTATTATCAAGTTTCATATCACAGCCATGTTGTAACAGCAATATAACTTCCAATTGAACCATAGGCGTATAAGCAGATACCATTGAATACATATGATGATTGAATTATTATGGCATTTGGGTCAGCATTTGATAGCTGTAATAATAATACTGTATCCTTGTTTCCAATGTACACAAATAGCCATAATGTCTGTCATTTTTATACTTACATAATGTATTTAGTAACTACAAAAAGCTTTATGAAGGACACCACATCCATCATGACCAATCCTGCCCCTCCACTAATCAGCTATAGAATATTTGACGACTCATAGAAATACTAAATGATCTACTAACTGGTCCAATGTAGATAAATCCATTTTCACAGAAAATGTTTAATGGTCTAATCAAAGAATTTACCTCGACAAGCATTATGAAGTACTAGGAAATAAAATCATTCATTGGTATTAGCACTACAAATTACCATGATTGTATGGCATAGTAAAAGTAATGTTGCTAAAACCAATTAAGAGCTGAAACTAAAATTGCAGCCAAATTCAAAGGCAATAAAACTTGCTCATTAGCAGACACAATAATCAGTAGCAGGCACATTTTAAACAAGCAATTATTTTAATAATATGATTGACCAAATTGATTTGTGCTGCATAATATAAAGGAGCTAACCTAGGAATGAGATGTAAGATAAACTAACTAGACAATAATGCACAAACCCTCAAGCCCCAATGTAATATAGGCAAAAAAGTCTAATAATCCACTACATTGATGTAGTACATGCCATTATCAAAGTATATTTAAGCACCAGTAAGTGCCCCTAATAGTAGGAAGAATATAGGATCAGTACAAACATATTTATTATTATTATTATTATTATTATCAAGTTTCACAGGAGGTAAAAACCAACCTGTAGGACTGCCAACAAGGACTGCTGACATTTGGGGGTAATGAAGGAAACAGAAAAAACAGAGGCACTTTATTTGAAGAATTTATGTAAAAAAAGCCATTCTGGTATTTCTTCTTTTACATACATTCTTCAGTATTATGCACTTTTATGCTATGTATTATCAAGAGTACATAATATACCAAAAATGTTTAACTATAATTAGATCAAAATTAAAAGAAAATTAGATGCTATAACATGCATCATTAACTACATGTACATGATAAAATTACATCACAGCACAATTTTCAAACATAAAAATTTTCCACTGGATAAATTTTCATGATTTACCCTGATTCACAGCATTGAGTCAAGCTTAACATGCCACTTCCATGAATTAGTTGTTTTCAAACAAGACAAACATATTACATGACTACATAAACAAAACTAGATTTATCATAACTACAACACTGATTATTATTTATGATAGCTATGCATAAGGTAGTCTCATCCAGCAGTCAAAGGGCAGCTAGGGCAAGACTATAATCATTAAAACATGTTTACAATCATGAACATTTAATAGCTCAAAATATAGCTGGCACGATTGACAACTATCATAGTTCTGCAAATGCACAATCAGGTTATTATAATTAGAAACCATTATGTACAATAGAATTAGTACATACAAATATCACATTGGTTCATTAAGTTTATTCATCTATTCCCAATCCACTTTCTTCTTCTTCCTCTTCATCTTGATTACCTTCATTTCTAATGCTTGGACATTCAAACTGTAGTTTGAATCCCATGCCTTGTGTTGAGTCTTTCTCACTCAAAAACAATAACAAGAAGTCTGATGTCTTGATGTGTCTGCCCAGCAAAAAAATCTTACTAAGATCTTGTATTATCTGATCAGATAAAGTAAGGTGAGATAAGAATTAAGAACAACCTTATAAGATCTTATTTGGATCAATCTTAGCTACTATATACAGGCATGATCTTACTTAAGATCTTACATGACTTATCTTACAATATCACTGATAAGATGTATATGCCTGATCTTACTTAAGATCTTACATGAATTATCTTACAATATCATTGATAAGATGTACAGGCCTGATCTTACTTAAGATCTTACATGAATTATCTTACAATATCATTGATAAGATGTACAGGCCTGATCTTACTTAAGATCTTACATGAATTATCTTACAATATCACTGATAAGATGTATATGCCTGATCTTACTTAAGATCTTACATGAATTATCTTACAATATCATTGATAAGATGTACAGGCCTGATCTTACTTAAGATCTTACATGAATTATCTTACAATATCATTGAT